GATATTATCATACAAGTAATTGGATTATGGTTTTGAACTGAAATTGCTGTAGTGTGGTATAAACTATTCTGCAATTACCTGGCTTTTGGTTTTAGTTATTAAATTACTGTACTGTTATTGATAGTCTGTAATTTTTACATGGTTTTGGATTTAAATTGCTGAATAAATATATTCTGTCAATTACATGGATATGGAGGATTGTATGCACCGGTATGGGACGGTGACATACTAGGGGACGGTTTAGCTCAAAACGCCTAAACCTAACCTAATGGATTAAAGGAATGGATTTAAAAATATTGAATCCTAATTGTGTTAAGTCAAATCAACTGCAACTAAGTTGAGTGGCTTCCTGGATTAATGGATGATAGTTAAGTCATATCAACTGAATAAGTTGATAGGCTAACTAGCTTATTTATTGTATGTCAGTTCAATAAATATTTGAACTACATACCCTGGTTTTGGACGGACTTTATATATATGTTTATGGTACCACGAGATGAGCTTGAGCCTCAGACTCGTTGGTTAGGGTGCGTATATGCAGTGGATGCGTAGCTGGCTATAGTAGGTTGAGGTGTACCCTGTTAAGTCTAGGTACTCATGCCCACCTTTGGGTGCGTTTTTGCATGTTGCCTTCTATTCAGGTTGAGACCCCTACTGTAGTCCAGTGAATGTCCCTTAGTGTGGATATATATAGATATGTATGGACTAGATAGCTATTGTTGAGATATCTAGGGTGTATCTGCGTATCGAGTCACTGTTTGGATTGTAGTTAGAGAAGAATTTGCATGTGGGCCTGACCCACTCTTATTTTTACAGGTGTTTGTTAGTTCCAGACTCGGAGCTGGATCGTGCTGAGCAGATACAGTTATTCACTCCACCGATGACCAGGGTTATGTTTCATATTTTAGACTTGGGTTTCATTTCCAATCTTTTGAGTTCAGTGAGATATTTTAGGGGTCCACTAGATGGATTCCCGAGTTGTAATAGAAATAGAGAAGTATGATGTATCAGAATCATTCTTTGTTAATTAAATTTTATTCTGAGGGTTTTTGGATTATTATTCTAGTTTCTTTTCAGTAATTTATTTATTCTTGTTTTTCTTATTTGTATTCTGTGTTCGATTATTGTTAATTGGTTTGATATCCTCGGGTAATCGGGCGTGGGCCTGGCCAACCCGCATCCGGAGATCCGGGGGTATCACAGTTGGTATCAGAGCACTCCAGGTTCTAGTGTCCTTAGGAGTGTTTTCGTTATAAGACTTCCGCGTTGCATCTCTTAAAAACTTAAAGCCATATTAGGATTCGTTGTACTCTTGTTACGGTTTGATAAGAGGAGTTGATGCCAATTATATTCCATAATTATGGAATGGTTGACACTAGGAGGAGGATCGGGTTCAGGGTGAAAGTGATATGGACCCAACGGAGTATAGGAGGATGTTGTCAAGTTCTTTGTCAGAAACAGAACTTGGGGATCAAAGATTTAGTCCTAAGGTTGGCATTACTTAGACAGTATACGCCAAGACTGGATTAAGATGTCGGTGTTAGGTCTGTATATCTGGGCCAACACAAATTTCAGATATTCTCAGAAAGGAGACAGGCGAAGAGTAGGATTCTGAAAAGGGTCCTACGGGACGAAATTTCAGTGTCTCCAAGAAAGGGGATGTTAAAGCTTGAAGATGAAGGATCGCATGGAGGTGATCTCATTCATCAGCAGTATGGTGAATGATACTAGTAGAATTGGTGTAGATCAATCTAGATGTGGATAAATTTTTTTGTTCTCCCTCAAAGAGTCAATTGAAACAGTACTCTTCGGTTGGAAATCGGATAGAGTTCTCATTAGAACAAAGACATGATTTTATATCACATTCTGGAGCGAATGGGGATTAGGTTGTGACGTTCTATGGTACGTTGTAAAACCACGATAGACGGTTTACATTCCGCGTATAAGGAGGATAAGGGGTAAGCCTTTGGTAGTTGCTTAGGCAAAAGAATGTTGCTTCTAAGCTATGGTTACAGACAAGCTTCAAGGTTGGATGATTACCAACGAAACTACGAAATGAACTTTTGTAACATAATTTGGGAACTTAAGTTCAAAGGAGGTTTTCTTCTCTGGAATGGAGGATGTTTTAATTGGGAATTATATTTTGGTTGTTTTTGTTGCATTGTGTGTATCTATGTGTTTGATTTTGTTATTCTGTGTTGCATTTTGATATTATGTGTTTCGTTTTGTTGTTACGTGTTTCATTTTTGTTAATTTGTCCGGATTAGGAGTATGGAGTGGTTGGGGACACAAGTATGTGATCAACCAACTATTATTTTGACATGGATAATAGCGCTATGTACGCTAGGATTTGTAAATAAATGGTTATATGATTGGGTAGAAACATAAACTCCTAGCCAATCTATTGGACTTGGATGTGCATCAATAGGGTATGTTACTTGGGATGGGATAGTTTAACTACCAATAAGAGTCGAATAATCTACAATGAGTAGTTGGATATGCTCTACGCTAGGTTGGGATTTGTTTTTACAACGCCATAAGAAAGGTGGTTATGAATGTTTCGGGGGATTCGTGGGGTTATGGTAGGTAAAGATAACTGTAATGCCACTATGGTTCGGACAAAGGATTTCGGGCTGGTAGGTATTTGTTAGAATGACGCCGAGAAAGGATAATAGACTGATTAAAGTTATATCAGTCTATTCGAAATTTAGACATGATTTTTTGAGGGTGTCATTTGAAGTAGTTACTGGTATTTGGAGGAGGAACCAAAGTTTCTACACTATATAAAATGTGGAAATTGTTTTAATGTCATAATTTGCAACAATTAATTGTTGTTTTGACATTGATGACTATATGGAGGATGGGAAAAGTTTCATAAGCTTTTGAAGTAGGACAAGGAGTCAAATGAACACTATTTATATTACAAAGGTAAGGTGTGTCAAAGATAGGATGGTGAGATTGGTTAGCTATCATAAGGAAGCGGTGCACGGTGCGCGTGAAAAAGTTATACTGCATGGTTAGCTTTTGACGATGCTCCAAATTAAGTATTGGGTGCAGATGGAATTTGGTGGTACCAAACTAATGGTCCTTTTGGTAGACAGATTGGGAGGAGGATATAGGGACTGAGGTTCACAACACTTGGTTCTTTCTTCATTCTGGCAGATAATATGATTTCTAAATTAAATCAGTTCAGATCTTGTTTATTTTGAACTAGTGCAAATCTTCAAGTGGTTAGTGAATCAGTGGTCCGAACCTTTGGCATTTATCACATCTTCTAAAGAATTCTTCTGCATCTCGTGACATGTTCGGCCAAAAATACCCCTGCGTTATTGCTTTGTGCGCTAAAGTCTTCCCCCCTGAATGATTCCCACATACACCTTCATGAATGGTTCGCAATATCTGCCGAGCCTCTGTGGGGGTGACACATTTTAAATATGGCCCAAAAAAAGATCTTCGGTATAACTGGTTATGCACTATGGCATATTTCGCTGAATTTGACTTGATTTTCCGAGCTTCATCCCTTTGTTCAGGCAGAATGCCATCCCGTACATAAGTTATGATCAGATCTATCCGGCTCGGTTCATATGGAATGACATTCACCTGCCAAGGATCTGAGCCTGAAGGTTCTTCGAAGATGGATTGTTGGTTCAATATACCTACTGGGATCACCCTTGCCAATGTCTCCCCAGAACTCGAAGCACTGCATGCCAATCGATCGGTGTCTTCATTTTGCTCCCTCGGTAACTAGACAAACTTGACATTGTCAAAGTTTTTAGCCTCGCGCATGACGGCAGAACGATATGCCTCTATTGTTTCGTCCTTAGTTTCATATTCGCCATTCACTTGCCGAATAACCAACTGTGAGTCACTAAAAGCGGTTAAGTTCCTGACTTTCAGCTCGTTGGGTAACTTAAGTCCCATCAGCAACGCTTCATACTCTGCTTCATTATTAGTGGCTCGGAATTCAAGTCTAAGCGTTTGACTTAGGAATGTGCCTTCTAGCGTCTGTAGTTTGATCCCAATGCCTGCCCCCAGCTAATTTGAGGATCCATCTACGAAGAGTTTCCATGGACAACTGCGAAGGTCTTCCTCCACATCTTCTGAATCACATTATAGCAAGAAATCAACCACTGTTTGCCCTTTAATAGCCGTTCTGGGTTCATACGTTATGTCAAACGAACTTAACTCTATGACCCACTTCATCATTCTCCCCGAGAGGTCTGGCTTATGCAGGATCACTCTGATTGGAAAAGCGGTTATAATGACGATAGGATGGGATTCAAAATAATGCCTTAGCTTCCTTTTTGCATTTACAAGCCAGAGTATCACTCGTTAGGCCTTTGAATATCTCCGTTCGGCATCAGTCATTGTTTTGCTGACATAGAACACTGGGTAATGAGCTCTTTCCTTGTAGCGGATCAGAATAGCACTCGTTGCAATATTAGATACCCCGAGGTACAAAAATAATTTTCTCCCAGTTCGGGAGCAGACAGGATTGGAGGGCTCTGCATATATTCTTTCAAACTAGTTAGCGCTTATCACTGTTCATCCCTCCAGGCCTGTCTCCCATGGCTTCGTATGGTATCAAAGAGTGGCTTGCAGCGATCTGACAGCTTAGAAATAAACCGGCTCAATGCAACTATCCGACCTGTGAGGACTTGTACTTCTTTAATTGTCTTTGGTTTAGCATTCTTAGTTAGAGCCTCTGCTTGGGCTGGGCTAGCCTCGATTCCTCTATGATTAACCATATGTCCTAGGAATTGACCAGAACTTACGTCGAATGAGCATTTGGTTGGATTAAGCTTCATTCTATATTTTCTCAATACCTCAAACACTTCCGGCAGATGCTTCAAATGGTCAACTCCTTTCTTGCTTTTCACTACCATGTCGTCAATATAAGCCTTTACAGTCTTCCCCATCTGATCCTTGAAAATCTTGTTGATCAGCCTCTGATAAGTTGCCCCAGCATTCTTTAATCTGAACGGCATAACTTTGTAGCATTAGGTCCCTCGTTCAGTTACAAAAGAAGTTTTCTCCTTATCAGCCGGGTTCATAGGGATTTGATTGTATGCTGAATAAGTATTTAAGAAAGTTAAACGTTCGTATCCAGTAGTGGCATCCACCATTTGATCAATCTTTGGCAGCGGGAAACTATCATTCGAACAAGCTTTGTTTAAATTAGTGAAATCAATGCATATTCGCCACTTCCCATTCTTTTTTCGCACAACTACAACATTCGAAAGCCAGTCTGGGTAATATACTTCTCTAATGAATCCCGCATCAAGCAACCTATCAACCTCCTCGGCTATGATCCAATTACGCTCTGGAGCAAATCTTCTCTGCCTCTGCCTCTGCCTCTGCCTTACAGGCTTCGCGTTCGAATTGACGTTGAGGGAGTGGCAGGATGACGAAGGGCTTATTCCGGGCATGTCCGAGTGGCTCCAAGCGAACACATCAGCATTCTGAGATAAAAAATCAATTAACTCCCGTTTCTCTTCCTCGGCAAGTCTTATTCCTACTCTGGTTGTTCGTTCCAGTTTGTTATGATCGATCTGCACATCAACAAGGGGTTCTTCGATCAAGTTCCCCAACTCCTCCTCCCCACTTTGGCTGGGTGGAGGCTCCTGTAATTGCTATCTGGGGCTTGCAGAACGGATGGGAGCTTTTCCCTTTACAGATTATTTCAGCGTTATAGAATAACATTCCTTAGCTACAACATGGTTCCCGTGAATGTCAATCACCTTATTTCCGTCAGGCCCCAGGCATCTCATCACTTGGTGTAGAGTTGAGGGAACACCCTGAACTCTGTGAATCCACCCTCTGCCCATCAGAAGGTTGTAAGATGGATGGATCTCAACAACCACAAAGCTTTCTATCAGAACCCTTTCTGCAGCCTGTACTGCAACTTCTACCATACCAACGGGTTTCACCCGTTTTCCATCGAACCCTAGCAAGGGATTTGCAGTGGGCTTGAGCCTCTCGGGTTTTATTTCGAGCCAATCGAACGTGTCCCTCGGCATAACATTCGCGCTACTTCTAGGATCAATCAGGACTCGTCGTACCAAACATTCCGCTATTGTCAGGCCGACGACTAATGGATCCTCATGAGGAATTTGAACACGTAACAGGTCGGTTCTGTCAAACTTTATCTATGTTGATGCGCTCTGCTGGTGCAGAGTGTTTACACAGCCTATCTTCCTCTTCATCTGTGCCTGGCGGAGGTGTGTTCGAAGCAGTTCATCTGACTCCTCAGTGGGTTCTGACCGACCGTGAATTGCATTGATTATTCGAACTGGTTGCGAGTTGTGGGAGCCTGGGTTCTGATTCCTCTTCACGTGCTCTATCGGTCGGTTCTGTTCTACCGCCGAGCCTTGAATATAACTTGCGAACTCCCCTCTGGCTATCAGCATCTCTACCTGTCTCCTTAAGTTTCTGCATTCATTAGTCTGATGCCCAAAGTCAGAATGGAATGCACAATGCTTAGACTGGTCCCTCTGTTCGAGGGGCTGTCTAATTGGTAAAGGAGATCAAAACTTATCTTTATTTTCTTAGTACAACCTTGTTAAAGTGACTTTTAATGGAGTAACCAGCTCTTCTTCTCTGGGCCTCTTCTCAGATTTCCAAGAGGTCTGACGCTGTGGCTGAACCTGCTTTTGCCTGATCTTTGTTTTGGTTTTCTCTTCTGTTGATATGATGGATGTCTTCCGAGTGTTAGCTGCCTCTTCTTTTTCTAAGCGCACAAAACCATCAACTTTTTCATTGAGTTCATCCATAGTCTTCGGCGTATTTACTACCAAGCTTGTGTGGAATGGAGTGCCACGAGTCATGGCTAATTTAAACATTTGAACCGCCGTAGAAGGATGACATTTAATCACCATGCTCTTAGTAAGGTTAAACCTGGTAAGAAAAGCTTGGAGACGCTCGTCCTCATGCTGCTTCATTGTGAATAGGCTCGAAATGTCCTTTGCTGTACGTTTATTCCTATAGTACTGGCTTATAAACCGATCGCATAAGCTTCGGAAACTATCCACTGAGCCCATCGGCAAGTTCTTGAACCAATTGAGCGCTGGTCCAGCTAGACTTGTAGGAAAGCATTTGCATATCAAGGAATCGTTCTCAGTGTTCAAGGCCATTTTCAACTGAATGTGATATACATGATCAATCGGATCGGTCGTCCCGTAAAACAAAATGAAAACAGGCATGGAGAATTTTCTCGGAATCGGAGCATTCAGAATTTCATCGGTAAACGGCGAGTCAACCGTTCGAGCCGCTGAGCAGAGGGCTTTATTCTCCCTCTGGAACCCTGCGGTTGCTCTCTGATCTATAGATCTCCTTTTTGAGCTTCGATAATCGAACGTTGCCATGGAAGGCCGATAAGACGGATCGAATGATCTTTCCTCCATAAACTCCTTGTGCCACGGCAGTACAGCTTTGTGGCGATCAAACTCCATTGCTTTTTCTCAGCCGAGCATTTCTTGATATGGATCGAAAGTCATGGCTTCGTTTCGCCTGATCTGTTCACGTCATGGATCCACGTGAGTTGATCCTTCACGATCATCAACACGATGAGGATTTGGTGGCAAATCATTTGGCCAGACCTCCTCGTGGTGAAAATCTGTCTAGTTGTTCCCTACCTCCTCATCGTGATGTGCAGCACCGGGACGTAGAACTTCTTCTCCTACCTGGAGCGGTCGCGGAATCACCGGAGCTTCTTAACACTGCATTTCAGTCCTTAGCTCTGCATTCTCTCTCCTGAGAGCTTCGATCATGCTCGTCAACTCATCAAGTTTCATCTGCTGGACATTCTCTACCGGATTGGAGTTCTCACCCCCAGTCATCATTCCGGACTGGAGCAAAGGCATGAATTACAAATTCTAAATCAGATCTGAGTTTCACTAACGCGAATCACGTCAGATCTGGACTCAAATTTTATGAATTACGTTCACCACTTGCTAGATCTGAGCTTTCCTAGCTTTGAACTTGTTAGATCGAGCCACGATAGAATGAATCACCGCTGCGTAAATCTGACGCTAATTTCTCAAAATCAATCAGGAATCAAGAACTTCTCAAGAGCAAACCGCAATCTCTCAGATCTGGATTCAACTTCCAGAAATCAAGTTTCGTCTTCACGAATCAATCTGAATAAACATGATGTTGATCAAACAAGAATCAATCTTCAACGTTCCCACAGACGGCGCCAATTGTAAATGCAAGAAAATATCTCTCCAAATTTCTTTAGAGTTTCATTACATTTTCCTTATTCTCCCCTTTCTATTTCTCTTCTACGCCTATTTATAGGCAATTACAAGTGTTATAACTAATTTCTTATGTTGGGCTCTCAGTCCTCGGGCCTTCTTCCTTTTGGGCTTGACCTAATCTAGTGGATCACTGGTGTTGGGCCTGTTGTATTACTCTTTAAGCTTGGGCTAGAACCTGCTGCCCAACCCGATGCTCTCCTCTCGGGTCAGATCCGGCCCACTCTATCTTCAGTATCCTCAATAAATATTTTTTATATTAATAATTCTTATCTAATTAGATTTTCTTTAAAAAATTCTTAATAATAAATAGGTTAGTTTGAATTTTATTAGGTAAATTTTAGAGTTTTATAAAGTTTTATATATATATATAAACTTTTTTCAAATCGATTAATAAATATTTTTTATATAAATAAATAAATACTGAAACACTGAAATTCTTTGCACACATTTAATAATAGTATAGATAAAAACTCTTTTTATATCGCTTAATAAATATTTTTTTATATAAATAAATAAATACTGAAAACTCTTTTGCAGAGGTTCTTGGATTAATAAAATGATAACATAATCATAATAGGGCCAGGTCAATTATATTGTAACAATTATCCATAAAAAATAACTATTCTTTTCAAATCAATTAATAAATATTTTATTGTGATTGATTTTATTAAGTAATTTTTAGCGTTTTATAGAAACTATTTTTATAAAAATTATTTTTATATCAATTACTAAATATTTTTTTATATAAATAAATAAATACTAAAATAGTGAATGGGCCGAGCCGGTTATATTGTGATATTTATCCATAAAAAATAACTATTCTTTTTATATCAATTAATAAATATTTTATTGTGATTGATTTTATATTATTGTCTAATTATATTTTATTTTATTGAAAAATCATAATAAATAAATTAATGTGATATAGTTTTATAGAGAATAAAAAAGCTAATTTGTGTTGAATTTATAGAAATTATTTTACTTTCTTTAACTATATTTTTGTCTAATTAGATTTCCTTTTATTAAAAAAACTCATAATAAACAGACAAATAGGTCATACGTGTTAGAGTTTTATAGAAACTCTTTTACAAACTCTTTTTAAATCAATTAATAAATAAGTTTTATATTAATAATTTTTGTCTAGTTAGATTTCTTTTTATTAAAAAAAACTCATAATAAAAGATAATTTGCGGTAGAGTTTTAGAAAAATTATTAATTTTTTATATCAATTAATAAATATTTTTTATATTAACAATTCTAATCTAATTAGATTTCTTTTTATTAAAGACTCATAATAAATAAATAAATAGGTAATTTGTGTTAGAGCTTTATAGAAACTCTTTTAAAAATTATTTTTATATAAATTAAAAAATATTTTTTTATATTAATAATTCTTGTCTAATTACACTTATTTCCTTAAAAGAATGATAATAAATAAATAAATAGGCAATTTGTATTAGAGTTTTACAGAAACTCTTAAAATATATCATTGTCTAATGTGATAGAGTTTTATTGAAAATAAAATAGATAATTTGTGGATGACTTTTATATAAACTACTTTATTTTATTGAAATATATCTTTGTCTAATTAGATTTTCTTCTATTAAAAAACTCATAATAATTGGTAATTCGTGGTAGAATTTTAGAAAAATTATTTTATTTTTATATCAAATAATAAATATTTTTTATATTAATAATTCTTATCTAATTAGATTTTTCTTTATTAAAAACTCATATTAAATAGATAAATAGGTAATTTGTGTTAGATTTAATTGAAACTCTTTTAAAAATTCTTTTTATATCAATTAGTAAATATGTTTTTATATTAATAATTCTTCTCTAATTACATTTTTTTCTTAAAAAACTCATAATAAATAGATAAATATGTAATTTGTGTTAGAGTTTTATAGAAATTCTTTAAATATATTATTGTATACTGTGATAGAGTTTTATCGAAAATAAAATAGGTAATTTGTGGTAGAGTTTTAAATAAATTATTTTATTTTCTTTAAATATATCCTTGTCTAATTAGATTTTCTTTTATTAATAAACTCATAATAAATGGTAATTTAAATATTTTTTTATATTAATAATTCTTGTCTAATTACATTTTTTTTCCTTAAAAAACTCATAATAAATAGATAAATAAGTAATTTGTGTTAGAGTTTAGAATTTTATAGAAATTCTTAAAATATATCCTTGTCTAATGTGATAAAGTTTTATTGAAAGTAAAATAGGTAATTTGTAGTTGAGTTTTATATAAACTATTTTATTTTATTTAAATATATCTTTGTCTAATTAGATTTTCTTCTATTAAAAAACTCATAATAATTTGTAATTTGTGGTATAGTTTTAGAGAAATTATTTTGTTTTTATATCAACTAATAAATATTTTTTATATTAATAATTATTGTCTAATTAAAATTTTCTTTATTAAAAAACTCATAATAAATAGATAAATAGGTAATTTGTATTAGAGTTTGATTGAAACTCTTTTAAAAACTCTTTTTATATCAATTAATAAATATTTTTTTATATTTGTGTTAGAGTTTTATAGAAATTTTTTAAATATATCATTGTACAATGTGATAGAGTTTTATTAAAAATAAAGTAGGCAATTTGTTGTAGAGTTTTAAAGAAATTATTTTATTTTCTTTCAAATATATTCTTGTCTAATTAGATTTTCTTTTATTAATAAACTCATAATAAATGATAATTTAAATATTTTTTTATATTAATAATTCTTGTCTAATTACATTTTT